TAATTTTTTTGGTTTTATACCATTTGGTTTTTGTGGGTTTAATTTTTTTGGTTTTATACCATTTTAAAGAGTGAAAATTGCTGAACTCTGTTGCATTGTCTAGCCAGAAGACAGATACCATATACACACTTGGTAACTTTTGATATTTTGGGATTCAGTTTTAGAACGAGTTTTTCTTGCCACATTTGCTTTATTTCTCTGTGTGTAATGTGGGTGTACAACTATTTTTCCCCTCCTCTTCCTCCTCCATTTCCTTTTGTCCCAATTCTCCGTCACATAGAGGCTGAGGCAGACGCTATGTTGTTACTAGCCTGTCATTTTACGAGACTCTACCTCCATGAAGGAGGAGACTATATCTGTCATATCGTTCCAAGGATCTGGGAAGGGTTAAATTATAGTTTCTTATAAAAGGATACAACTCAGGAGCAGCCAGATGGAGAGGGCAAGGTATGTGGGAAGGGGTGCAGACCTTCTGTGCTTTCTGAGTGTGATGCTCCCCAAATATCTACGTGTTTACCAGCTTGGAAGCTCCAAGAACAAATTTTTTAAAAAATTTGTTAACGTTTATTTATTATTGAGAGACAGAGAGACACAGAGTGTGAGCAGGGGAGGGGTAGAGAGAGGGGGAGACATAGAATCTGAAGTAGGCTCCAGGCTCTGAGCTGTCGGCACAGAGCCCGACGCGGGGCTCAAACTCACACACTGCGAGATCAGGACCTGAGCCGAAGTCGGTCGCTTAACCAACCGAGCCACCCAGGCGCCCCTCCAAGAACAAATTTTAAAGAAACTAAATCATCTTTGGAAAAGATGCAGTTCCATTATTGCTGGCATGTTCCTTTGCAAGTAGTATTTTTTTTTTTTTAATTTATTTTGAGAAAGAGAGCATGTGTGAGTGGGGAAGGGGCAGAGAGAGAGGGAGAGAGAAAGTCCCAAGCAGGCTTTGAGCTGCCAGTGCAGAGCCTGATACGGGGCTCAATCTCACGAACCATGAGATCACAACGTGACCTGAAATCAAGAGCCTGATGCATAACTGACGGAGCTACCCAGGCCCCCCTGTTGCAAGTAGGTCTTCATTGGGTGTAAGGTTAGATGATTTTAGAATTGTGTTTAGAATCATTAGTTTAATACTAAATGAGACTTTTGAATGTGGGCACTTAAAGAAAACGTGCTTTCTGATGTTCATTGCAGGTTACTGACACTGAGTAGCTGTTTATACTTACAGGAATGTCCGTCATCTAGTTTCCTTGCCTATGCCTTGCATGACTGACCGTTCAGAAGCACTATTGTTTTTCCTAAAGCGAATCTCTTCAAAAATAGCAACTTGAAGTTCTTACTAACTGGTAGTTTTTCTTTTCTTTTTTTTTTTTTTAATTTTTTAAGTTTATTTATTTTGTTTTTAAAAATTCTTCTTTTTAACGTTTATTTTTGAGAAAGAGGGACAGAGTGCAAGCGGGGGAGAGGCAGAGACAGAGGGAGACACAGAATCCGAAGCAGGCTCCAGGCTCTGAGCTGTCGGCACAGAGCCCAGCGCCGGGCTCAAACTCCCGAACCACGAGATCATGACCTGAGCTGAAGTTGGATGTTTAGCTGACTGAGCCACCCAGGTGCCCCTATTTAATTTGAGAGAGAGAGATAATGCAGGAGAGGCAGAGAGAGAGGGAGAGAGAGAATCCCAAGCAGGCTCCGCACTGTCAGTGCAGAGCCCAGCGTAGGGCTCAAACTCACGAACTGTGAGATCAAGAGCCAAAACCAAGCATCAGATGCTTAACCGACTGAACCACCCAGGTGCCCTAGTAACTAGTAGTTTTTCTTAAAATTAGGCTTTTCAGTGGGTGAAGAAGAACAGATTGCATCTGTGTGTCCTGTCTTCTCTGCTCCACTCTAAAAAAAACGGATGTGAAATATGGCCATTGTGTGCCTCCTTATCCTTTGTGACAGAAATTGCTGAATAAGGATGATTTCTCCATCTCTTTAATTGAACATGCTTTAGTTTTTACATATATGAAAATAAGATGAGTTATTATCCTTCAGTGATGGCACATACTTAAATGAGTAGACAAACTTGGAAGCTGTTGGCTTTGTAAAACAAATTAAAAAGAGAAATGAGATCCCCTCAATGGACTTTTTCCTCTCTAAAGGGTGTTATTGATGGATGATGTAGACTAAATGTTTAATTGAGCTTATTGAGTGATGAATGTGTGTGTTGGGGGAGCATTTTATGTTTAATAAATTTATAGTACTAAGCAGACTCATACAAATATCTATTCCTCCTCAGACAAGATCACTGAGTATTTTAAAAAAGAGAGAAGTACCCTGGTACGACAAAAACGTTCTGTACGAACTTCCAACATATGTTTATGTGTCAGTAGCTTTGCATTTAGTGCTAGAGATAACCCCCAAAAAACGTATTATTGATGTCTGAACCTTCTGGATGATAGCCTTCACTATGTACTCAATGGATCTTCCATTTGGATGGATAAACGCCATTTTCCTGGTATCCCCAGAATGGTCCAGTTCCGTTAAGAGGGCCTAACATCCAACAACTGGGTAAATGGGCTGTGCTTATTTGATGCCATGTCGTGTAATTGTCCTTGGCTTTAGCTAGGTTGTCTTCAATATGAATATTTTCCTACTCCTTCACGAAATGTGAACGCATTCTGAATGACTCACAGAAAGGGGGTGCAAAACTTACATATGATCGTCTGATGATTTTTTTGATGGGAATTCAGACGTATAACAATGTGCAGAAGTATCTTTCATTTGGATAGATGGCTTTAGTGTTTAAATTCATGCTGCTTTAGGGGCGCCTGGGTGGCTCAGTCGGTTGAGCGTAAGACTTTGGCTCGGGTCAAGATCTCTCAGTTGGTGAGTTCGAGCCCCACGTCGGTCTCTGTGCTGACAGCTCAGAGCCTGGAGCCTGCTTTGGATTCTGTGTCTCCGTCTCTCTTCCCCGCTCATGCTCTGTCTCTCTCTGTCTCTCAAAGATGAATAAACATTAACAAAAAAATTAAAGGGGTGCCTGGGTGGCTTGGTCGGTTGGGCGTCCGACTTAGGCTCAGGTCGTGATCTCACGGTCCGTGAGTTTGAGCCCCGCGTCGGGCTCTGTGCTGACAGCTCAGAGCCTGGAGCCTGTTTCAGATTCTGTGTCTCCCTCTCTCTCTGCTCCTCCCCTGTTCATGCTCTGTCTCTCCCTGTCTCAAAAATAAATAAACGTTAAAAAAAAAATAAAAAAAAAATAAAGTCATGCTGCCTTGGAAAGCAGGACATTTAAACCTCCTTCCTTTCTATCGTGTCTTGACTTGAAACCTGTGTTTAGGATACAGTCTCAGAAATGGGAAGGGACAACTAGGATTTAAACTAAAATGTTCTGGATTATTAAGATAATTTTAGAAGTTAACATGTCGATATACACGAGCCATATTTATAAGTTCCTATATGTTCAGTCTTGTTAAGTGTTTGAGACATGATTGGGGTTAAATAACGTGTGTAAAACGTGCGTTTCCAGCCATTCATTGGATTTGGAAGATGATACTCGACTTAACTTGTTTGACGATGGGACACTCATGATCCGAAACACCCGTGAGTCGGACCAAGGTGAATATCAGTGCATGGCCAGAAACTCAGCCGGGGAAGTCAAGACCCAGAATGCCATGCTCAGATACTCCAGTCCTCCAGGTACGGCTTTTCTTCCTGAGGGAACTTGGGGTAAATGCCTCAGTTCTCCATCAGTTATTTGCACTAGAAAATGACTTATGTTGCTTCTTTAAAGGATGGACTGCTTAAAAGTGAAACTATTGCCATTTTCTATCACTTTCTAGTCTTTTACAGAAATTGTTTTTTTCTCTTCAAGTTTTTTTTTTTTTTAATTTTTTTTTTTTCAACGTTTATTTATTTTTGGGACAGAGAGAGACAGAGCATGAACGGGGGAGGGGCAGAGAGAGAGGGAGACACAGAATCGGAAACAGGCTCCAGGCTCTGAGCCATCAGCCCAGAGCCCGACGCGGGGCTCGAACTCACAGACCGCGAGATCGTGACCTGGCTGAAGTCGGACGCTTAACCGACTGCGCCACCCAGGCGCCCCTCAAGTTTTTTTTTTAAATTTCCTGCCTCCGTTCTCTTCTCTCGTAGTCACCACAGGTGCTGTGCCAAAACTGCTGTTCTCCTTTTGATGACCTATCCGGCCTCCTCAGAAGATGACCCGCCCTCCTCAGACAGAGGGACTCAGTGGTACCTAGGCAGGGCTATCATCCTTTCTAACAAACGTTCAGTTATTCATTCGTAATTAATTACCCACCAAATATTTACTGAATGCCTACTGAGCTTGCTGTTGAAGATTCTATGGTTGACAGCCTGTGCTCCTTTAACTTTCCAGGAGCTTTGCTTTGCCCTAATGTCAGTGGCCCGTGTGGACCAGCCACAGTGACTGTGACAAATTTGTAGTGATATCATTTTGAGAGAGCTGATGGAAAGAGTGACACTGTTTCCTCGGCCCTTACCGAGTCAATAGTCTATTAGGTGATAGGTTAGGCGATTAGCCATAATTCAACAAAATAGCAGGTTTTATGACAGGTAAGGAAAGGGGATAGGAGGATAAAGGAGAGTTCGTTGTGTGCTGGCAAATGTGTAAACGCTGGCTCTGGGGGCGAGGGAGCAGCCCTGAGGTGCAACATTTGCCAACGACTGACGAGACACCGATGAATTCGGAGTTGGGAAGAGATGCACAGTAGAAATGGGAATTCGGAGTTGGGAAGAGATGCAGTAGAAATGCTACTGCATAGCATTTCTACCCTGCAGACGCAGATGTAGACCATCTCAAAACTCCAGATAACAGCAAAATGTGAAACAATGAGAAGTGGTAAACGTCAGAATTGATCTTTGACGTTCAGGAGGTTTATTTAGTTGTAAGTTTATGTCACTTGATTTTTTAACAATGGCTATGCTTCACAAGCAGCTTGAAAGATTCCCCAAATTTGATAACCGGCCCTCTAGAGCGGGCCGCCACACAGCCCTGTCAGAGGAAGGGCCCTTGGAGCCGACTTGGAGATCTGGGTTCGTTCAAGAAAGGATTTCCCAGGACCCGGGATCTAGAAGCTGAAGGCAAGAAGTAGGAAACAGCCAGATAAAGAGGACTGAAACCTCATCGTAGTAGAAGGGGCAGTAAAGGTAGTCAGAGCAGGGCACATTCAAGACTGGATGCCTCGAGGGTACAGATGCAGAGTTGGGGATTCCTTGAGATTTGGGGGGCCGTAAGGCAGAGCTGAATCATTCATTACTGTACTCAAAGCGTGACCAAAATTAGATTTCTCTTTTAAAATGGTCGCCCAGGCTGCAGTTCGGAGAACAAGCAGGAGGACAGAGTAAGGTGAGGGGGCGGGCAGGCTGTGGCGATGACGCAGAGGAGGGCAGTGACGTTGGATGGGGCAGTGACAGAGGGAGTAGAGGAAACGCCACTGAACTAAGAGTTACTCCAGCAGAATTGAGGCATTTGAGTCACAGATTGACTGGATTTGGGAATTCCCTACGGAGTTCCTCGGTACTTTCTCATCAGCACACCCACTAGCTCTTTCCAAAGCATCATCCGCTTTGCCCTCTAGGTCAAGCCTGACTCTGCGCACGGGAGTATTCCTACTTTGACTTCTGGGCACTGCTTTCTCCTGATCCTTTTCTAAGGTCCTCTCCTTCTTTCTCAAAGACTTCAGCCTGCCTTGACCGTGTTGTTCCCCACACCCTCCAACACCCACCCTTCCTCCAGTTGGCCTGCCCTAACCACATTTCTTCCTCTTCCGTTGAACCCTCCTTGACTTTTGAAGCAATTCCCAAACATCAAACTTGAGTGATTTCTGTCCATTTCACAGATTCTATTGCTGGCATCTTTCCTGAGATTTGGATTGATTTCACTCACCACCGCCTTCGTGCTCATCTTCCCATGTAAATTTTTTACGTCGCTCAAACACTTTCGCCTGCACTTCATCTCACGTTTGCCATCACTGTTGATGTTATTAACATCCTCCTAAAACTTCAGATTCAGCCTCCACTGCTATCTTTTCTTGATCAAGTCTCTAGAAGTTTGGTTCCACGATGTATCGGATTATCTTCCTTTTCGTTTTCACTGCCATTGATTCGCTCCAAAAACCTTTTGTATCTCAATTATTATAATACCTCTTTCCATTTATCTACAGCCCTTTACACCTTAGTGTAATATAATGATTTCCAAGGTATGTTGGAGTTCTTCAGACTATGTGGCTTGTTTTCTGTCGTAGCTGAAGCATAAGCTTACAAGGACGGGAGTATGTCTCGTGCATCTTTTCAACATCTAGAACATTTTATCCATCTTAAGGCATGCAATATTGTGAAAATTAAATCTTGATTGTTGAATTAGATTAAACGCATTTATCTCTGTTCTTCATGGTATATTTATCTCAGAAATTAAGGAGCCCCCCCCCAAATTAGACCCAATGATTAGGCATTTTTAACACCCTACTAAGTCTTTAATTTCTGCTTCAGATTTCTAGAAAAGATGACGCTCTTAAGAATCGATGAGTGGAACACCCTATGTGGAAGTCTAAGTTTTGAATTTATAAGAATACTTACTATCGTATTATGTTTGGCTGAAAGTGTCAGAAAATTTGATGAGACATGACTTGAACACACACAGTGTGTGTGTGTGTGTGTGTGTGTGTGTGTGTGTGTGTGTGTGTGGTTTATTCAGGTGCCACAAGCAGTGTGGGAGTCTGGACCGAGCTGCCACATTAGCCCAGTGCTCCAATGAGGTCTTTTTATTCTTTAGTCCTTTGCACATAGACCTTTTTCTCCCGTCATACTTGTCACCTGTTGGTATGAAGTTGGCTCCTGTAACCCAAAACTCATGACCAAATGCCAGGCAGCAAACAGAAGGAGCAATGGCTGGCTAAACCACTCTTATCTGGGAAGGAAACTCGTCCAGTGACATGCGTCTACACCGTGCTGGCAGAAGAGTGTCACACGGATACCCTTAACTGCAAGAGAGTCTTAAAAGGGGATATTTTCAACGGAACGTTTCAACAGTTAGCCCTGAAATAAAAAATAGGTGTGGCCCAGCAGTGTCTATGATACATCCTGGCGTACAGGGAAGCGGTCTTTAAAAAAAATTACGTTTATATCAAATCCGGATTTCAGATCTACACATTTTAGGGGCGCCTGGGTGGCTCAGTTGGTTTCAGCTCTCGATTTCAGCTCAAGTCATGATCTCCAGGTCCGTGATGAGCGTGGAGCTTGCTTCGCATTCTCTCGCAACGTCTCCCTCTGCCCCTCCCCCACTTGAATGCGTGCACGCACACGAATGCTTTCTCTCTCTCTCTCTCTCTCTCTCTCAAAAAAGATCCAGATATTTTAGTTTTAATTATTTGAGAATATGTATGTATATAATATTTTAGTATAGAGTCATTTTGAAAATGATAAACACGTAAAAACCACAGTGTAGCATAAATAACCCTTAACTGCTACTGGCCATATTTTGTTTTGTTTTCCTCCTTCCTTTAGCCAAGCCTAGTTTTATAATCCAGCCCCAGGACACAAAGGTTTTAGTTGGCACGAGCACAACTTTGGAATGTATGGCCACGGGCCACCCACACCCCCATGTTACTTGGACGAGGGGCAGCGGAGAGGCCCTGGATGGATCCAGGCACCTGGCTACTTCCGGAGGACTCTACTTGCAAAATGTCACCCTGCAGGACCACGGTCGATTTACCTGTCACGCCGACAATAATCAAGGCTCTGTCCAAGCCACAGCGAACATAATTGTACAAGGTACGGGAGCAGGAGGTCGGGATTGAAATGTTCATGCTGCCACACTCAGAAAATTATTTTTCAACTTAAAAAAAGAATGTCATGTACATTTTTTGTATGTACATGAAGAGATTTTTGTATTTGCCATGTCGTTTTTGACATAATAGACTTTTCAAAACTAATCGGCTTCACATTAAAACTTGCCTTTATTTTTACTTCAGTCTTTATCCCCATGCTGTAATCAACCATTAGCCACAAAGGAGATGAAGCCATTCATCTGGCAGCAAACTGTCAAAAGATATTTGTGCTTCAGTATACTGTACAGACGTAGGAAAGACGCTTTAGATATGGAAGTGGAAATTCTGTGCCCTATGTTCATAGTCACTTACCAACCTGTCTACTCGGCATAGCTCGGGAATGCGCTGACGGCTCTTACGAGCCTGGGCTGTGTAACTAAAGCAAGAATAAAACTATTCTGAGTGCTACAAGTAGTTTATATGCATGGGCAGGCAATCCTGTTGTAAAGAACGTTGTGCTTTCGTGCTATGCTTGTGTGATTGACCTGGGCTGCCCCTCCCTTTCTGTTGTGCTGGTTGTGTGTGCGGGTGTAGGTACAGGTGCACGTGTGCTCACATACGCACTCAACACTCCTTGTGGGCTTAGAGGTGTAGTAAACAGAAGAAGTCTTACTTGAACGATGTCAGATGTCCCATTCTATCCAAAACTGCTTTTTATCGGCTGACAGTGATACCTTTCGAGGGCTTCCTAGAGCCACGAACAGTATAGTTAAGAAGTTACGTTATTTTACTGAACACACTTGCATAAGGTGTTATCTGTCCCAAAACCAGACCCTGGGAAACACGCAACAACAACTCATGTTTAGGAACATGAGTCGGGGTGACTTCGGGGCGGTGAGTGCTGGCTGCTGGGGAGCAGTGCGAGTGGCCCTCTGGAAGGTTCAGCACTTCACCCGTCCTGCGTTTCCAGCATTCAGTAAATGTTTGCCAGATTGCTTTTGCTTACCATCAGCTCTTTAAGTAGCAACAGATCAATAACTTCTTGTTCCCATTCGTGTGTCTGAGGAAAGAATTGCGTTCCCCCTAGAAATGTTAATACCATGGAAAAACATTTTCTATACTCTAAAAAAGGTGTAGAAATGAAATTTTTTCGTGAAGTCCTGGGTAACTCCTGGGGGGAATTACTTTTAAAGGACCCAAACATTATTTTTAGGCTTTCCATGTGTCCGGGTTCAAAACTGCTTGCAAAGAAATACTATTTGGGTTTTTTTCTTGCCTTATTTTGTATCTAATGTCTGGTGTTGAGAAGCATAACACCTAATGAGGCATTTACACTCTGACAGGCTCCTTTCTTTCACACCAATCTAGTCCTTTGTGTCTCAGCTTCTTGCATTTAGTTTCTACTTCTGTTTTTTCATCTGGATCAGTTGACGTCTCACCAAACTCTGGCGTTTATGGTGCTGTTCATTTCTCATACTGCAATACGCTAACGATTTCTTTTTACCAGGCAGTTTGCACTGAAATTGCCACCTGCTTGTCCTTTTGTCCCTTGCAACTGTGTAGTTGGGTTACTTGTAGGTCCCTGTGTTGAGATTTTTAATCGGTCTTGAAATGGTCCGTTAATCATTCAATACATTTACAAAAGAGGCTTCTTTTATTCGCCTAGTGCACAGACTAAATATTTTAAGATGTACCCCTTTGTGTCATCTTAACAGATGTTCTATCAATGTTCTTTAGTTCTTTCAATGTCCATCTAAGCCAAGAATACAATGGCCCACAGATTAATTTCCTTCCCCAGACTGGCTGAACAAATAATAAAATGAAAAAGAAAAAGCCTCAATGGAAGGTATGAATCACAGTATGGGGCACTTAGGTGAAAAAGCCTATAGTTCCCAACAATGTAAACAAAAATGCTTTTTTGTATGAGGCATCATGGTCACGGATTTTGTAAAATCCACCAGAAGGGTGACTTTTAAGAAAATGGCAGAACCTTTCGCCTAAGCATGTGGGGGTTTAGCATCGGAGCTGGGACTGTTGGTCACCGTTGTTAAGTGGAAGGCCCAGAAATGTGAACTCCATATTCTTGTTCAGTTGCTCCAGCCTGCACTGCCTCCCTTTGTGATGTTTAGCTCTTCTGAGTTTTCTCCCCATTAGATCTCAAAATTTCTTCATTGATCTAGCAAGTTGGCCATTTTCATGCGAGGAACAAGTATAAAATGATCATTTATTTATGTTTTTCCTAATTTCTGGTAGGATGTGGTCTCTGGGAATTAAAAATATTATTTTCCATGAAACCATATGAAATATGCTTTTCACCCAGACTTGGCTAGAGTTTTGTTATTACTAAAAAGTCGAAGTCAAATTTCCCAACATTTGTGCCTTGACCAAATGACTTGCTATAACCCCTCCCTACTTTTGCTTTATAGCTCTTCTAGTGTGTCATGAATCGATTTTTTAATGTCGAAATATTTTTGTTCATTTCAAGTTATCCCTAGCAATTTTAAAAGTTAGTGTAATGTTCCAAAAATAACATCAGGCTAGGGGTTGAGTGGACTAAATTTTCATCATGTCTCTGAGAGTTACTGAGTTCAACCTCCCCCAGCCTGGATTTCTTCATCTGTAGGACACGGAACCTGAGACTGCTGATCTGTGGACTGTTTTCTAGCTTGACTTTTCTAAGATTCTATTGCAAGCATCTTGCAAGCGTTCCTGAGGGCTTTCATAAATTTGCATGACCTTGGAATTTATCTTTTCCCATTGTTCAGCCTAGTGCCTTACTTAGAACTGAAGACTTTTAAAAATCTTTATTACTTACACACAACGTGAAAGCTGAAACATATATACCTTGCCTAACATTATTTATTTCATCATGTTTCTTGTAAATCCAGATGGTAAGGAAGGGCAAGGAGGGGGTGAGTACAAAGATCAAACAGCAAGGAGAAGTGGTCAGGTCATCTCAGAAAGTTGTTTGAAAATCTCCTCCCTTAGGGATTACTGGAGATCATTGTGCCCTTGAGAGGCCAAATGGATCTATTTTGCATATTAATAAAAGCCATGAACAGATTCTATAACTGTACATGCAGCTATTAGCTATTTAAACAAATTCAACTGCAAAAGATCTGAACACTTGGAAATCTTGGAACTTTGACTTAAATGCGACTTTTTCAAAGCTATCGCATCATGTGTTACAGGAAGCATTTTTTTCCTGAGATTAACAGAATGACTTGTTTCAAATTTCATCATGTTTATGAAAGTTTGGAGGAAACAATTTTGTTAATGGTTCAAATACAATCCGTAGTTTTATATAGGTCTATCACAGTTAATAAACAACACGTGAAGCAGATTCCATAAGATTTAGAAATACTTCCTTCCTATTAACTACCACTTTTTTGCCTCGCAAACCAGGTATGTGTATTTCTGGTTTCTTTACAAGTAGGCACAGACATACGCAAACACCTACATACTCTTAGTAGCTTTTGAGTAAATAATTGGAAACAAATTCCAGTTAAGCAACTTGTTTATTTGAGAGAGAGAAATTGTGCGTGTGCGCACACGTGCGTGCGTCTGAGCAAGGGAGGGGGAGAGGGAGAGAGAGAATCTTAAGCAGGCCCCATGCTCGACGCAGAACCCTGTGCGGGGCTTGATCTTACAACCACCGTGAGATCATGACCTGAGCCAAAATCAAGAGTCCAAAGCTTTACATACTGAGCCACCCTGGTGCCCCAAGCAACATATTTAAACCTATTTCCTTTTTTTCCCCTCTTGGTATTAAAAATTTATGGAGTAGTTTTTAACTTTGATGTACTTTTTCATTCTCTTTAGCTCCTCCACAATTCACAAGAATTCCCAAGGATCAAATGGTGCTAGAAGGACATTCTGTAGAATTTCTCTGTGAGGCTGAAGGCAACCCACCTCCAATAATTGCCTGGACCAAAGCAGGTATTAGCATAACCACAAATATTGTGGGAAGAAAGAAATGTCTTCTTTTATGAGAGGATGAAACAGTTTAAACTAAATATTATAGGTACATCTCCGGATTAAATAGGTCATCATAATTTTTTTGTAAGTGTTAAGTTTCAACATTTGAACGTGTGGCTTTCCTTACATAATCCTCTCTGGGCCTCAGTTCCCTGATTTTTTTTTTTTTTTCTCCTCACACTCACCTCCTCTCTAGCAACCATCAGTTTGCTTAGTTTCTTGATTTTAAGATGAAATTATTGGACAGTTCAGTGATTTTAAATATTTTTTAAAGTGGCAGAATTCTCTTTTAGTACGAAATGAAACTGTTAAGTGCAGTGAAACCAACCATAAGTGAAACTCTAGCATATGAAGTGGATAAAAGTGAGCTGCTGTCTTTTAAGTGTGGGGTGGGTGTGGGGTGCCTCTGAGGGGGCCTGCACTTCTGGTGATCCCTGGGGCATTAGACAACAAGGCCTACAGTCTCTGAGATGAGAGCTCCTCCAAGATTTTGCTGGTCTTGGAATTACTTTCATATTAGTTCAGGTGACCAGGTTAAATTCTAAACACGGCAACATTTGTGAATTGCTTTTGGCTAAAAGTTTTGCCCTCATCTTTACAAGAGTAGAGTGGGTAGGAGGTGAACTGCGAAGGGGCAAAGCCAAGATTCACGTCTCCCTCCTTTTCTTTACGAGTTGCACGGCCTTGGGTACATACGTTAACTGTGTTTTTTTTTTCCCCAGAGTCCTCTCATCCATATGCTGGGAGTGATTGAAGATATTGCCGAAGGCACAGGGTGGTTGTGGGGATGGTTTTGAATGGATTTATACTCATAAACATATAGAAGAGTATTTGGCTCATTTGTGTCCATAGTAAAGGTTCACTATTACTTTTCCCTGTAGAGCAAAACACTTCATAAGATACAGATTGTCACTGAAATAGTTGAGAATGGAAACCCATTAACTTGTTAGTGGCCGCAAGGAGTGTAAACTCAGTATTAAGCTCAGGGGTGGTAAAGTGCAATGTTGGCCTGAAGTATGGCTGTGAGGGTTAGCAGCCCAAGTGTCACAAGTGCCACCATTCTCCAGATGCTGTCTCAGCACCTTAAATGTTATAATTCTATAATGTTGTCATAAGCTAAATATTGCATACATGTGTTGAAAATCATATTTAGGAAAAATGGTATTTTGGGGGAATCTAGGAATAAAAACTGTTGTTAAAAAAAAAACAAATGCAAAACAATTCCTCTTCTAGCCAATTTTTGCCTTGTTTCCACTGCATTAAATAAAAAGTGGGGGGATGGCGGGGGGTGGGGGCGGTGAAGAAATAGGCGTCTTGGGTTAGCCTGTGCAATACCTCGCATGCCCTCTTAGGAATTTTAGCTTTTATTCCAAGAGGAGTAGGAAGCCACTGTAAGCAAGGGTAATGTTGGAATAAGATTGGTTTTGAAATTTGCACCCTAACTGTGGAAAATATAACTGAGGAGCAAACGTGAAGGTGGAGGGATTCGCTACGGGGCTGATCAGTTTCTCCTTTTGGGGGCTGGTCAAGAGGGCTGTCCAGATTCCAGGATGCAGTGGTAGGGGGCGTGGTCCCAATAGTGGGATATGGAGGCTTTCTGGAGGAATCCCAACCTTTACCCAGCACCCGACACAGTTCTAGCCGTCAGCTCTCTGAGCCATAACGATGGCATACAAAGTACTTTCTCTCTTTGCAGGGGGGCAGCTCCCTCAGGAAGGTCCACATACGGTTCTCTCCTCTGGCACTTTGAGAATTGACCACGCGGCACATCATGACCAAGGCCAATATGAGTGTCAGGCAGTCAGTCCATTGGGAGTGAAAAAAGCGTCTGTCCAGCTGACTGTAAAACCCAAAGGTAATGCGTGCTGTGATTGGGTCTACATACCTGAAGAGAGCGCCTCTGTATGTGTCTGATTTCACACATCCTCCGGAACCTTATTACTTAAGTATTTTTTAGTTTAGAAGATCTGAGAAAGGAGCGCCTGGGTGGCTCAGTCGGTTAAGCATCCGACTTCAGCTCAGGTCATGATTTCGCAGTTCATGAGTTTGAGCCCCACGTTGGGCTCTGTGCTGACAGCTCGGAGCCTGGAGCCTGCTTCAGATTCTGTGTCTCCCCCTCTCTCTGCCCCTTTCCCGCTCATGCTCTGTGTCTCTCTGTCTCAAAAATAAAGAAAACATTTAAAAAAATTAAAAAAAAATCTAAGAAATTGCAAATTTGATAAACTTCTTCTAATCAATTGTTAAAAAAAAGACCTGAGGATTTAATTTCTATTAGTGATAAGTATTAATATCATGTTTTCTTCCAAAAATATTATTTTGTGTTTTCTTATAACATTTTTTTGCAAAGCTAGTTACTTAGCTCTACCTTTGGAGACTAACTCACAGAAATATACATTTCTCACAGCCAATGGGCTGAACTGTGGTCTTAATATTGATGTATCTTTTATTCTTAGGGTTATCAAGATATACTGCAGACACTCTGTTTCAGAGTCATCATGAAATACAGTAGTTTGGTTTATCAAAAATAGTAATATTCTGGAATGAGGTTGGGTTATTGGTCCATAATTTATCATTAAATGACATGTTAAAAAAAAAAAAAAAGGAAAACTCAAGGCTTACATTTTAAAAGACCGGTCCAAAGTAAGAATGAAAAATGGTTGTTATTAAATACTGTGGAAATTTCTTTTTAGTTACTGGCTTATGTTGAAATGAAGGAACTTAGTTACTATGTATATATATTATCTAAACTGTAGTTTACATTTAGACATAAGTTCCTGTCTTCACAAATTTGCTATAATTTGTTTTGATGTAGTGGATCTTAAATTCAGAGGTAAGGCATATTTAGATAACGCATATAAAACCTAGAGACAAAGGTTGTCTGGATGTAGCAATATAAATGTGAAAAGAAATATTAGTAAGTGTTGAAGTGTTCAATGATGCTGGAACATAGACACAAGATTACACGGAGTTAATATCTGTGTACAATCTAGTATTTATTCCTTTCTCAAATGCTTATTATTATCTCTCTTTTTTTTTTTTTTGGATGGAAGTTGAGGTTCTATGAAGAGGTAAAAAGATACGAGGGAAGGTGTGCAAATAGCTACGGAAATGCATGGGAAGATTTGAAAACGCTATTGAAAGGTGAAGGGAACTGCCATGCCCTTGGAAAGCCCCGTTTCTTTGGTCCGTTCTTTCTAAGAGGAAATGCCAAAAGCTGCTCTGTGGAATATTTAAAACTACTTTTGAGTTGGTTTTCAACAGATTCAACTATTTTAAAAATCAGAAGGTTTTTACATTAATATCATTTTTAAAAGGAGGACATACGCAATCGATGCACTGTCGTCTAATATAATATAGCATGACAGTGCGGAAGTTAATGGTTTTAGTGTCCTCCTTTTTTTGCCACATTGTTACATCCTTCCACCTCAATGACCTGCCTCCCATCGACCTTCTAGATCTCAATTTAGAAATAGGCTCCTTCCCTAAGGAGGGTTCCTTTCCTCCACTCTGTAAGATGTCATAAGATACCGCTGTTGAAATTAATATTAGAATAGACCATTTAATCTAATAGGTGACCGATGTGGAGGAATTTGATAAATGTATCAAATATCCATAGCTAAGAAAGTATCATTAGCAACAGGCACAGATGTAGAAACACTACGGGCAAGTTTTTTAGTGAACAGAGAGCCCTGTGTATTGAACGTACACTATGTGAATAGAGTGGAGGAGAGGGCTGTAGGGAGGAAATGCTTGGGATGGTTGGTTGAGTTCGAATGTATCAGATCTTGACTATAGGCCATGGAACTTTCCAAATGTTGACCATATCTATTATGTAGAATATTAATCAGCCTAAAGTGAATAGGCAAATGCTGGAGTAAAGAAACATTAAAAATAAGAGACCATTAGAACTATGGCTATAGTCAAGCGATATGTTAGGTGACCTGAATATCCATGACAATGGGAATGGAAGAATTAATGAATTCAAGTAAATGTGTAACAAGTGGAACCATTTTATCTCTGAAATTATTAACAATATTTTTTCCCAATAACTACCCCTGAAAATATTTTGTAGACCCCGTTTTGTGTGTATTGAAGTGTTTCTCAAAGTGTGTTCTGTGGATTGCCAGGGGAGGAAATTTCCAAGACCCTTCCAGGGCGCGGTGGTTTAGGTTAAAACTCTTATAATATCAAGGTCTTATTTGCCTTTTCCACTTGGTTGACATTTGCACTGATGGTACCAAAATAATGGTGGGTAAAAATGCTAGAGCCTTAGCATGGACCAAAGCAGTGGCACCAAACTGTACTAGTAATTTGTATGTTCTTCACTTGCAGTGGGAAAAAGATAATAATTTTATTTAACAATGTTACTGATAGAACAGGAGGAAAGCACTACTTTTATTAAATCTTGGCCCTCTAGTAGATGTATGGTGAAAGAAATAGGCAAAAGAAGCTGTCAATTATCAAATTTTGCTATAGTATCAAATATGTTTCACAATGATGTGTTAAATATCTTAAAATATCCCTACATTTTTGGGGTGCCTGGATGGCTCAGTTGGTTGAGCATTGGACTTCAGCTCAGGTCATGATCTCATAGCCCCACGTCGGGCTCTCTACAACTCTGCAGTCAATGAAGAGCCCACTTCTGCCCCTCTCTGCTCAGACTCTCTCTCTCTCTCTCTCTCTCACTCATAAATAAATAAATAAATAAATAAATAAATATCTTCAAAAAGTTTTTTTAAATAAGTAAAATATCCCCACATTTTGCAAATACTTACCTTTGTGAGGTCATATTTTATTCATATACTTCAACTAAAATGTCTAATTGCAAGAGATTGAACTCAAAAGCAGTTTTCAAATATTGAGATCTGGGGAAGTGTTTACTTTTGGAAAATTAATTAATGGTCACAAAGACGTGTTATTTATCTGACTATTGTATGAGTTTATTTCTGCCATATTTGAATAAGTAAATAAATTTTGAAGTTCTCAGATTTAATTTCTACTATGGTGAGCATGGCTGCATATAACCAACATAAATAAAAGCTCTTGGAGCTTCTCCATAATTTTTAAGTGTCAAGTGTTCCTGAGATTAATGGGTGTTTGAGTTGCACTCATCTGTTGGATCTTCTTTACCTGATTTCTAGATCTTTTCTTTTTCTTTCTAATCCCTTTAAACTTTGTTGCCACATCATTTTGCTAGCCTTTTTCATGTCTATCCTTTATGCCCCTTGCTGTGTTCTCAGTGGTGTACGTTCCCTCCAGAGATGCTGCTAACCTTTAGTTATGCAATAGTTTTATTTTTTCCACTAATATTTTGCTCAAGTATATGCAAATATATATAAACACTGGATGAAACTAGTAATTTTATAGAAACATATAATTAATGAAAACGAATTCCAGAAGAGAGAGAAATATAAACAGAAGATAGCAGGGGAGAAAAAATGTTGGCAGGGATCACAGCAGTGCAGATACACAGCTGTTACTCGGCAGCATGGCTGAATAGAATGTTAATTATTCTGAGTATTAAACTTGCAAAAGAGTTCCCTCCAATAAGAGTATGTGGTTATGTGGTTTCCCAAGGAAAACCATCACATGTATAAATAACAAAAATTCTAATGCTGCTTAAGTGGTTTTAGGAGTTAGAAATTAATAAACACACTAAAAATATTCTTACTAACACAAACATAAGCTTGAAAATAAAATCCTAAGAATTCATTAAAATATATCAAAGGAAAACTATCTTGTGTATCTATGCAAAAAATCTAGGAATGTAAATAAAGAAATATAATTTGAAATCATAAATAACCCAGTAGCACATGAAAAACATATTAGTCCATAATTAAGTGGGTTTTATTCCAGAAATTCAAAGAGAGTGCAATAATAGGAAAGCTATTAATATATTTTATCATATTAATGGATTCAAGAAGAAAAACCATGATTCTTTCCATAGATACTAAAAAGACACTTGATAAAATTCAGCATTTATTCTCATTAAAAACTGTTAGTTAACATAGGTCTGAATAGACATTTTTCCAACATGATAAAATAGATTTACATCCCTAGATTTTTGCATAGATAGACAAGATAGTTTTCCTTTGATATATTTTAATGAATTTTTAGGATTTGTTATCAAACAACTCTTGCTTTACTGAACTCATTAGCCAGAATCCTGCTTAAGAGAGGAATGATATAAATATTTTCACTAAAGAAAGGATTTCTGCTGTCATTCTATCATTTAATATAGATTTAGGGAGACAAATGATTACAGTTAGCCAAGAGACACAAGAAAGAATAACCAGGAAAACTCTGAAAAGGAACCATAATTAAGGAGGACTTATCACACTAGGTTATAAAATATACAATCAAGCTACAGAAATTAAAACAGTGCCTCGCTAGTACATTAAGCCAAAATATATAATCTACAGGTTGATTCCCATTCATATGGGAATGTCACGTATGAAAAAGATGGCATTTCCTTTGAGTGAAGAAAAGGTAACGACTCAATGAAACATTTGGGAATAACTGGGTAGACCTTTGAAAAATAACACCGGGTACATATAACACAGATTTTGTTCTGGAGATGTCTTCCCAGTCAGGAGGTGTGTGTGCCTGGCTCATCTTGAGACCCGTGTCATGACCTCTTCCACACACAGCTTTGCTTGGTCTTTTCTGCTTTAGGTAGCCCTCCCTTCAGCTGTTTTGGTGGAGTGGGTTTTAGTGCTTCCCTAGTTTTACTGAAAAGGAAGCTTGTAGTTTTATAAAAAAAAAAAAACCCAGCAATACATTTCTGTCTCTCGTCATCCCTGTTTATTGATTTCTGAAGAAAAAATGGAACTGCCACCCTCATGCTACCAGACC